AATGTCTATTACAGTATACATAAATTAAATTACAGATACAGATGTATAATTCAGCAATGAACTTTTGGGAAAAAATCATTTTCATTTTAATACTTTAAAGTAATCTTGCAGTAGATGAAAAGCACTAGAAAAGTTCAAATACCAAAGAATTGTATGAACTTGGCTTGCACCACAATACAGTACAGTAAAAATAAAATTTCAAAAGTAAATTTAGGATCCTCTGCACATTTGGCCAAATTTCATTACAGTATGCAGTACTATAGCAGTTTCTTGGTTTCTGACACAAGACTAGCTATATCAATCACTTCTCAGTTCTGCAAAAATGCAGTTCACATAAAAAATGGTTACAAATAAAATTGGACAGTCACACGCTTGAAGGTGTACAACATGTGTTTACAGTTTACTGTACATATAGAATAGTGACATTTCCATGATCTAATGTACTGGTACTGTACTGTAATTATACTGTAGGCTATGGGTAAGTATAAAACCCCTGTAGATGATTGGCTCAGCTCTCTCCTCTCTCCGTTGTTAGCATGCAGAGATTCTGATTGGTGTGTCATCATTTTTTAGGCTACTCATTGTTAAACTTTTTGAGAAATGTGTCTTTTTTTTGAAAACTGAATTAAAGGGGTGGGGTTTGGGGTGGGGGGGCAACTAAAATCAGTTATATTAACAATCGAGAAAACTGCAATACGATTAGATTCTTACCTAACTCTGCTATTAGTTTCCGTGATCGGCATCTTTTTATTGATTTCATGTTATTGTTACGGCTTATATACATGATGAAAGTGGGGCGAGCGGTCAGAATCGGATCACCAAACAATTACGCGATGAATCTCAGACATATCCAGATTAGATTAGACCGGACAGATTAGATTTCTCAGAGGACTTCTGAGTTAGCTGAGAAGCAGTAATTATCTGATTCACGAACAAATGCAAAAACAATTCGGCACAGCTTTTTCTTAGGGTGGCAGCTGCCACCCCGGTAGATCCACCCCTGGTAATATGCGCCTATAAAGAATGAGAATGTGACGTAACGCCGCGTTGAGTTCTGGGAAACTGCTTTGATTATCCGCTATATTTGCGGGATAGCGCTGCCTTTCCGCTATTGAGTTTAGGGCAGTATTTGATTGTTTGTCGTGATTGTGAAAAATGTCACCAGTGTATTTCATTCATACTGCATCGATAATTGCAATAGTAACTGAGATCATCGTTCTGAGAGAAAACTGGACGATGCAATATGTTTTTTCGCCTTTTCTATGTGTAAAAACACCAAGGGAAGGAGGTCGCGGAGAAGACGCCGAATAGTAAATCTGTTAATGTCACTGATTAAACCCACTGACTCTCACTCAATAAAAGAATCACATTGCTGTGTGTTTTTGAAAGTAATGCTACAAAACTTTCCCCAAACTCCTAGGGATTTGATTTTACTGGTCATTTGTTGAAATAAATATAAAAAGTACAGTGAGTTCGTGACTGTTCGCCGAATGTGACCCACAATCTGTGATTCTCCCCCGTGGCCATGGAAAAATGAATATTTATAATGACAACAATTATACTTTGTCATTTAAAAGTTTCCAACAAAGAAATGGATCGACTTCTGTCAGCTTGTTGAACACACTTTTATTTGGATAATGTACCATATGATGACTGAAGCAGCAGCGAGCGTCCAGCGGGCGATACTGTTTTCACGCTAATCGGGTAAACACTGTAAACCAAATTCTACAAAACCTAAGAGAGAAATGCAGTGCATATCATGCAGTGCGATAAAATAGCTTCTCTTCCCTGCAAACGATACAATGAAAAATGAATGGTTGTTTAACTTAAAGGCAAAAACAAAACAAAAGATAAGCATTTATCCTTATAGAGAATGAGAAGTAACCATGGGAACGGATAGCGTATCCTGCTAATATGGCGGCGCCTTCCCGAAATGCAATGCGGAGTGAAAAGATCGTGACGTAACTCCTCATTCTCTTAAAATTATGCTATTACCTGTACATTTTCTCTACAGTTGATATACAATTTACTTTATTTATATAATTTTTGTTACAAACAAGAATGTTTTTTTTTTCAGATTAAGTCAAAATATTTCCTCATAGGCCATATAGCTAAGTCACAAAAGCACACATTTAGACATACACTGCAAAAAATGCTTTTCTAGCTTAGATCTTTTGTTTTGTTTCCAGCCAAAATATCAAAAAATTCTTAAATCAAGAAGGATTTTCTTTGATTTATTTCAAACAGAAAACAAGATTATTTTTGCTTATGTAATTGCTTACCTCATTGGCAGATTATTTTGCTTGTTTCAAGCAAAAACTCACTTAATTTTGACTTGTTTTTTCTGAAAACAAGACAATAATTTTTACTTGTCTAGAAAATCCTTCTTGATTTAAGAATTTTTAGATATTTTGGCTGGAAACGAGACAAAGATCTAAGCTAGAAAAGCATTTTTTGCAGTGAAATTCTACAAAACCTAAGAGAGAAATGCAGTGCATATCATGCAGTGCGATAAAATAGCTTCTCTTCCCTGCAAACGATACAATGAAGAATGAATGGTTGTTTAACTTAAAGGCAAAAACAAAACAAAAGATAAGCATTTATCCTTATAGAGAATGAGAAGTAACCATGGAAACGGATAGCGTATCCTGCTAATATGGCGGCGCCTTCCCGAAATGCAATGCGGAGTGAAAAGATTGTGACGTAACTCCTCATTCTCTATTGGCGGGTGCACAACGCACGACCACTTTGCTTATTACACACACACAGGGACGCGCAGCAGCACACAAACATTTTTAAAAATGAAAAATTACATTCCGCCATGTAAATAGCGAACTCGCCATGGCGCGAGCGCAACTGGCTTTAAAGGGGATGGGAGATGAGACTCTGATTGGTTTATTGCACGTTACGCCCAAAACACACCCATGACTCATTAAAGGGGTCATATGATGCTGCTAAAAAGAACATTATTTTGTGGACAACCCGTTTAGACCATGCGCCCGGGCACGCCGACCGTTTCCCCGTCGTTAAACTAGCAAAAGTGGATTCTGACACGCCATGAGCGCACCTGCGCCGTGCGCTTTAGACCATGCGCTTAGATCGTTAAAATAGGGCCCATATACTACTTCTACTATCACCTGAGGAGGATGGTGGTCATGTATGGGTGTATCATCCCTGTACCCAATTTATAAACAGGTGATGTTAGAACTCACTTTGTTACATAATCATACCTGATTTCTCCCATTCTCTCCTATTCCTGCTATAATATGTGTGATCAAAAATGCACTACTGGTACCATGGTTAAATATAGAAAGCAAAGAGGACAATAGAAGACAAAACAAGATACATGTAAGAATGCATTAACTTTAACAACAAAGAATACACATAGCAGATGCAATAATATATATCAATAGGAAACCAAATAATGTTAATAAACAAATGAAAAAAAGTGTATCTTGTACACTTAAGTTCCAAACCAACATATAATTTTTTTAATCTGACACAAACAATTAAATTGCACAAATCCCTGATGATGACTAGTCCTTCTCAGATTAATTACATTTAATAGGCTGATGGTCCTAAAAAAATATAGTCTCTAGTCTCTGCATAAAATAAACTTCTACAACATTTGTCCATTCTTCACTAATAAAATCAGCTTAAATATTATATTAAACATATTATCTTTCATTTTGTTTCTTTAGTGAACTTTATCAGTGCACTTTAAAATTACAAAAACAATGTTTGTGCTAATAAAACAATAATGGCTGGATATATAGTCATTAGTGAACAGCGTACCATCCATGGAAAGCCACTAGATGTGGTGTTTGTGTACTCTGAAAAGGTAAGAAGTACAGAAACATAATATAAGATAAGAATATATGGCGATGAGTTCTCGGGGTGATCAATACACTACACACTATGTGGTATATACCAAATACTGTATATTATGTATTTAAAAGTTTTAAACAAAATACTATTTAACACTGAAACATAGTATTAGTTGGAAAATACCATTTGTACTCGATGTGTATTTCATGGTGGTAGATTCAACAGTTACATTTGTGACAGGCACTGGTGTAGAAGTAACGATTTCCCCTGTAATATAAAATGTGCAGCACACATGAAAGTTCGAAAATCGAACGATTTAATTGTCATGCTAATTTGTGTATTGTACGTCACACACTCACCTGCTTTGATAGTATCAAGTATGATGTCTAGAGGTATGGTACCATTCACAGTGGTCCTGTTAAGAATAGCTTCTACCTCAAATGAGCTTGGGACTATAGAAGGATTCTCAAAGATAAGAGTCATGTCAGCTTTAATGGAGCCCCTCCTGGAAATAAGAAAATGATAATTTTAACCCCCAGTGTCCTCCAGTGTGTTAAAAACATCCTGGACATCTGTATGATGAATTTGAAAGACCACAGCTGTCATGCTTACGTGAAAGAGTTGACTCTGCATCGCCTGTATCCTCTGAGATAGCTTGCCCTGTAAATTCTGTTTATCTGCATGTGATGAAAAATATGATAATTTTACCTAAAATAGAGTACAGCATGAGAATTATCCTAATATAATAATAACAACAATAATAATATGCACTCCCCTCGTGTGAATAAAAAAAAGCTAATTCAGTCATTTTTAACTTAGCATAAAAGGAAATATTTCTCAATTATGTTTATTTTTCTATTACAACATCTTTTCTTGAAAGAATTTTATTTATTTATTTATTTATTACTGTAAATAACATTTGGAATAACTTTCCAGCATGGTACGAATAGCCTCCAGCCATAGAATCCCCACCACCATAGAACAAGCCGTTTGGAGAATGGGTGGATGAATAGGCCAGGGGTAGCATTGTTTGGCTTTTGAAGCCACCTAGTGGCGCTTTGACTTTTGCAATTAATAATTCTGCCTTCACATACAGGTGCATCTCAATAAATTAGAATGTCGTGGAAAAGTTCATTTATTTCAGTAATTCAACTCAAATTGTGAAACTCGTGTATTAAATAAATTCAATGCACACAGACTGAAGTAGTTTAAGTCTTTGGTTCTTTTAATTGTTCCACGACATTCTAATTTATTGAGATGCACCTGTACTATAAGAATTGAAGTAAATATGAGAAACCGGCTTGGAAATAGCACGAAATTCTTCTAAAAAAATTATGTTAATGAACTTCTGTTTGGGAGCCGAGCTGTAGTAAATGGTAGGTTCCTTACTTGTACCTTTTTTTTTTTTTAAATTAAACTGTTGGTTGGTTAGTTAATTAATTAATTAATTAGCTCAAACTGTCAAAATTTTCTCTTGTTTAAATTATTTATCGATAGTTCCAATATCACTATAGCTTGTTCTAGTGTTGTTGTACAAACATAAATTAATTGTATGGAAAATATTTTCTCAATTTATCTAAGATTATTGAACAAATATACAGTATTTTCTCTGCCAAGTTCGAAATTTGTTGTAACGTTTATGAGTACTGAGAGTGTGGCTACGATCTTAGGCTCTTTGTCACAGGCAAATTTTAGAAATAAAACATGCCATAAAACATGCTTTCTTTGTAGTGTGCACTAGTATTGCCGTTTTTCTCAATTGCAAACACATTGTAACTGACATAGCCTATCATTTGGCCCGAATTTCCCAAACCATTCATTCAGTTCTCGAAACAAAGACACATTTCTTTAAAATTTTAAACATAATTCACCTGATTTCACACACACATACACATACAGTATAAATACAGTAGGCTACATAGTAGTAGATAAGATAACTTTCACTGTTCTGTGTACAGTAAATACTGTAGCACATGTTGTACACCCTGGTAACTAGCCAAGTACTTAATGTACTGTATTTTTAAACAATGACTTTCTAGGGGAGGTAGAGAAAGCCTTTTGACAGAAGACAATTAGATATTGATATTACTATTAGATATTAGATATTGCTATAGTATAGCAAATAAGGTCATTACCAATACTGTTATGCAATTTGGCAGAGGATGCTGAATTTATTTATTTATTTATTTGTTTATTTTTACTGAACAGTAATTAGCAATATAGTGTGTTGTGTGTTCATATTCAGTTCTTTGGTATTTGAACTTTCCTTTTCTAGTGCTTTTCATATAGATCTCTTTACAGTAGTGTAATGAAAGTAAACTTTTCTTAATGCTTATAAATTTCACTGTATCTGCAGAAATGTTGTTATAAATGGTGAATTATTTCATGAACCGTGAGTTACTGTAAGTAACCATGATGTACCAGCTGATTTGATAAATATCCTTTTAAAAGTAAATGGCATTTATGTTTGTAAAACAAGTTAGACTTACCTCAGTTACCACATGGGATGCCAATGCAATGAATTCAGGGGATGATCGGTTGTTATATATTTCTCTGAAAGTTTCATTTAGACTGAATCTTAAGTGTATGCTTCCTTCGTCAATGGTAGGAGGATCAGTGTTTGTGGCCTCTGTTGCTACTGTCGTCAGTGCAATTCCTGAATCTGTGGTACCAGATCTGTTTAATGTAGTATGTCCTGTTGATAAAGAACCAGTTTCAGGTTGAGTTGTAGGCTCTTGTATCACTCTTTTGACAGTGGTGGAGACCTCTGATGTATGAGACACTGTTACTGGCTTCATTGTTGTTGTTGTTGTCATTGTTTGTACTGTTTCAGAATGTAATACAGTGGATGAAACCTCACCAGATGCTCTCAATGTAGTTATTCCTGCTGATGAAGAACCAGTGTTAGCATGTGTTGTAGGTTCTTGTGTCACTCTTTCGACAGTTGTGGAGACTTCTGAGGTATGAGCCACTGTTACTGGCTTCACTGACATTAATGTTGTAGTTTCTTTTTGGGCTGATGAGGGTTCTGTTGTGACTTGAGATGTCACTGGTACCAAGGTTGAAGCTTTAGGTGCAGTAGCAGACTCTGCTAAGCTTGTTGTCGATGTTGTTGTTACTGTATCTACTGCCACAGAATGTAACACGGTAGATGAACCCTCAGCTAGTGTAGTCTTGGTTGATTCTGGTTCATTGCTAACAGTTGCTGCTGTGGTTGAGCCCGGTGCAGTTGCTGGCAATGCTGATGTCACTGGTACAAAGGTTGAAGCTTTGGGTGCAGTAGCAGACTCTGCTAGGCCTGTTGTTGTTGTCACAGTATCTACTGCCATAGAAAGTAATACAGCAGATGAAACCTCAGCTAGTGTAGACTTGGTTGTTTTCGGTCCATTGTTAGCGGTTGCTTCTGTGGTTATGCCCCAAGCAGTTGTTGGCAATGCTGATGATGCTCCTGTTGATGTTAAATTAGTTGCACTTGTTGCCTTTGCAGCTGTAAAAATCGCATTAGATGATGGTAGTTTTGTTGTTGGCGGTGCTGTTTCTGATGCAGACACTGTTGTTTCATTTGGTGTTATTGAAACTGTTTTGGTTGTTATAGGTTCTGTTGTGACTTGAGGTGATGATGACTCTGTTATTGCAGATTGTACTGCATTGCTTGTCACTGCCTCTGTTGTAGCTACTGTTTGTGTAGGCTGAAGTGTTGTCACAACACCTATAGGTACAGTATAGCAAATGAGCATCAAGTTAGTGTACAATAATAACATTAACATTTTTTAGTGTAACAATATCAGTAGTAATCAGTAATCAACTGTTTCATCAACTGTTTTCTGTCATTGTTTTTTTTCTTTTCCTTTCTTAAAATGTTCCTCTATCAATGTTCTTTTAAATATTACTTTGCTTGGTTATTTTGCTTGCTGTTGTTTTCCATCGCCGTGTATATTACAAAAAAATTACAAAATGGCCAACCCAAAAACTTCACATTATTTAAAACAATGTCTCTCTGCTTTTCCTGAAGCTCATCTTTATTATCGCAACGGGATAGTTCACCCAAAAATGAAAATTCTGTCGTCATTTACTCACTCTCGTCTCATGTCATTCTAAATCCTTAAGTCTTTCATTTGTCTTTGGAACACAAATGAAGATATTTCTCATGGAATATGAGATATTTCTGTCCCTCCATTGACAGTCTATGCAACTACCACTTTGACACTTCAAAAAGTGAATGAAGATATTGTAAAACTAATCCATATATATTGAGCGGTTTAGTCCAAATTTTCAGAAGAGACTTGATCACTTTTTATAATGAACAGATTTAATTTTATTCCCATATAAACATCAATCAACGCACACATCAGTTATGGCAAAGAGAAGCTCAAGCATGCTTGCTTGACGTGTGAGAACCAATGAGGTTCATTCTCGTGTGTTACGCAGCACATTTGAGTTTCCACAAAAACCAATGAGGTTTGTCCTTGCGCATCAAGCAAGTATGGTTGAGCTTCTGTTTATGCTCGCTGATCAATGTAAACATGTGGGAAAAAAGCCTAAATTAAACCTGAAAATTTGGACTAAACTGCTCGATTTACATTAGTTTTACGATCTCTTTATGAAGTTTTTGAAGTGTCAAAGTGGCAGTTGCATAGACTGTCAATGTATGGACAGAAATTTCTCAGATTTCATTAAAAAATATCGTTATTTGTGTTCCGAAGATGAACAAAAGTCTTACAGGTTTAGAACGTCATGAGGGTGAGTAAATTATGTCAGAATTTTCTTTTTTTGGTTAAAGTATCCCTTTAATTACAGAATTGTCTCACTGGTTTAACTGGTGACAGAATTTCAGCACTTGCCATTACATTCTTAACATGACATGTAAAGTTTAAAAAAACAACAATTTTATTTTAATGACCCTGTTTGTTGCCACTAGTGGTAAAGGAATTACATTCAAACAGAACATTCATTTAAAAAATATATTAAAATAAAAAGGGGTTATTTTAAATTTGAATAATATTTCATTTTTTATTAAATAAATGCAGCAGAGCATAAGACTTCTTTCAAAAACATTAAAAAATCTATAACATTCCTAAACATTTGAATGGTAGTGTGTAATCATAAAATATTTTGTCAAACCTGTTTGGGGTATTAAAATTGTTGTTGCTGCCATTGTTGTTCCAGGTGCCACTGTAGACCATAAAGTTGTATCTGAAACCGGTGATGCAGTTGTGGATGTTCTTTCAGCTGTTGTACTTTCAAAACTAACTCCTGCTCCTGATGTAGCAGGCAGATTTGCAGATGAAATGGCAGTTGTTGTTACCTTTGGAGCATTTGAGCCATCCTTTACAGTCTGCATACTGGTTGTAGCACCCTCTGATGTTGGAGTTTCCCCCGGTGTCCATTTTAATGTCGATACCAAACTATTTCTAGTGGTTGTGGGTTTTATGCTGCTTGTTAGCTCTATTGAGGTAGTTGCTGGAGTGGTTAATG